CCTGGGAAGAGCCTGACTAATTCATTGGCTCGAGGGTACAATCACTAAGCGATGAATCTCCAACTAGCTACAGCAAACTTATTTACAAGCCTGGGAAAAAGTGTGTTGTGTAGCAATTTGCTACACACCCTGACCAGGAGCAGTGCGTCAGGATTGATATTCTCTGTGCTGTGTTTTCTTCCCTTCCCATTTAGACACTGAGAATTCTCCACAGGAAAAAATACAAACTCCCACTGTCAATGAGTGCGTGTTTCCTTCTTGACCACTAAAAAGAACCAGGTGTGCATCTCCTTTTATCTGTGAAGGGAGTTGTGAACTTAATTCGACCCAATCCCCATTCATCGTGTTCAACATTTACCCCCCAAATGTCAGTAATTTTCTGGAAAATAAAGTACTTGGAAGACAGGCGAAACAGAGCTCTCGGTGATATCTGTATAGCAGAATATTTCTTCCATCCATATGCAAATCTAACCTTTTTGATATTTCAACCCTATAAACCCTAAGACAGGATTTCAATAGAAAATGTTTACTAAAGGCTTTCTCCTTTATAATCTATTGATTTTAATATCCTTACTACTCCTGTTGAATGTCAGTTTTACCCTGAAGACTCCCATTGCAAACTTGAACACATTTAATTATTTATACCATTTGAAATATTAGTGCTGAGAAATTACTAAAAGTTTTTGGTAATGGTATGATCTAAAGTTTGATTTTCCTTTGTGAATAACATGAGTAATTTGATATGGTAATCAAGGACAGATGAATACTTCAGACAACACAGTGCAGTTTTAATAGTAATGACATCTATTTTTTATTTTTTCAGCCTCCTTGTATATGTTAAAATATAGCTCTTTAAGTAAAGCAGGATCTCACAGACCTTTTTTCACAGTGAAAATTTTAGCATTATGTTTTCTTTCATCTGCCAGGCACCTGAACAGGTAAATGTTGCTTCCACCAGTGACAGTAGGCATTCAGGCAATGCTCATGTCTTGAGTGCAACCGAGAGAAGTTTTGTCCCTTGGTGTGGGCCTAGCAGCCTTATTTGCTTTACTCATATCACTGACTGTTTAGTAAGAACGAGCAAAGTTTTGGTCTCAAGGAAGTCTTCTCTGAGACAAATGTTTGTACAGAAAAAAATCTAAGTAAGGACCTGTGTCTCTTGTGTGCCTTGGCAAAAATTTTCAGAGTTCTGACTGTCCCTATCTTTTTATTTCCTTCTCCCTGGCCCCCTTGCCCCAAGGTGCTATTTCTCTGCCATTGGATGATTAGTGCAATTGCATGTACCTCTATTAATTGCACTGCATTTCTTTCACAAGGAATATTTTTACTCTTTTTTTCCCCCATCTTCTGAAATTTTCCCTTTATCTACTACCAACCTGATAGTCGTACAGAAGCTGCCAAGATGTATTTGGCTCTTGCTTTTACTCCAGATGGAGATTTTTATTTTCACTCATATCTGGCAGTAGGAAATGTGGTATCACCAAACACAACTTTTCTCTGAGATTAATTGTTTTGATAATAGAGAATAACAAACGAATGATTCCTTTTGTGTATGGTTTTTAAGTTATTTCTGGTGGCAGACAAATATTCTAGCCTGTATCCCAAAAGTTCAACCAGTCTCACAATAGCCATCAGTAGATGGATTTTTCTGGTTTATAACCTATCAGGAATGATCATCTGCATATGTGTATTTTAATAGCCTAGGATTATTGATTAACAGTAAAGCAAGAAAATCTCTGTAATGAAATCTATGGTTCTAAACTGAGCAGGGGTAAATGTACCAACTCTTATCTTCACCATATCTCTCCTGTATGCATTCGATATATTTGTAAACAGTTTTCTCTTTGTAAAATCATTGAAATCAAGTCTAAAGACTATATAGAGAGAAATGTTGCCAGTGATTTCAGTGCACGTGAATGGATCAGGCCAAACAGCTGCTCTGGCATGTATTAGAGCAGAAGGCAGCACACTACACCTCTTGTAACTTATGGGTATAGGTCAGAAATCTCACCCCATACCCAGCTCTGCCCCCAGCCAGCTTTCAGGGGTGGAATACTTAAGGCCCTGCAACTACACTGCATTACGTGCATCAATCCTCAAGGTATCATATCCCTTATAGGGCTGAGCCGTGCGTTTATTGACTTCTTATTTTTCTCCATCTGCAAAAATAGGCAGCTCCTTTTCCTCCTTTCCATTGTACTTTGAAATATCCATTTGAAAACTTTGGGCAATATGAAGCTTGTAAATGACCTCTCAGTTAGACACTGCGTTTCTGGTTGTTTTTCCTGCATCCTACGTGTATTCAGGTCTGTCTTTCCATTGCTTCTATTAATTTCACTGGCATCATTTTAGGCAATGGATTCAAGACGAAAAATATTCGCCTGACTTATGTTAGCTAAGAGGCTTCACATTTAATGGATTTGCTGTTCTTTAATGTCCCAGGTCACTCCTTGAGATCAGCAAATGTCTAATTCCTTATCGTGCCCAAATGTTATCTGAAGTCATGTCGTTATTTTGCCTTTAGTGTGTCTCTTTGCTCTCTGGCTTTGGAACCTATTGCCAAATGAAGTAAAGAAAGCTCTGACTGTGGGGATTTCTAAATCCAAAGTTAAAAGTTATTTGTTCTATTTAGCATTTTTAAAACGATTCTTGTAGGAATTGTATGTGCCTCTAAGCTAATTAACACTTAACGAGTGCAAAATGCCCTGGGATGCAGATTTGGAGGGTACTCCAGAAGTGCAGGCATGGATTGGACTGCAGTACTGCAGGAGATGAAATTTATGATTTGATTCTTTTTTTAAATGATGGTGCAGATAGTTTTATTGAGACACTCTTTTTTTTTTCTTTATTTCTGGTCTAAATAAAGCTGATCAGATTTTCAGTCCACCATATGGGACCCAGTTATATCAGTCCTGCAAATACACTTTAGTTTTCCGTTATGGATGAAGTCACTCTTCAGTAGGGAAAACAAGTTTAGGAGCAAACTTTCATATTATGAAAGACAGGCAGTGTTCCAGCGCTGAGCACTTAGCCGGAGCATCAGGAAATCAGAACACCTGGCTGTGCCCAGCTCCATGCTATTCCCCTGGACCAGTCCCTCACCCTTTTAGTGCCTTCACTCATTCATCTGTAAAGCAACTATAATTGCATTTATATCACAAGGGTGCCTTGATGCTTGACAAATGAGAATTGACCCAAAATTCATCCTTCAGAAGCTCTGTATGAGCAATACTTTGCTCACATGGTGGTTGTGGACAATTAGATTAGAAGAGGTATAAACGCAGTCAAAGTGAAATTCCATTTAGGAACTGTCAAACTGTTCTTGATAATTTTTCTTAGTTTTCATCTAATTCTAGTGTAGAATTTTGTATGCATCTCCCAAAAAGGTTTTATATGCCTCTTTCCTTCTTTTGCAACAAGCCAGCGTATATTTATTCTGTGTTATATTAAACTGTCTTTTTGGGTAAATGGTTTGTTCCCAGAGCAATACCTTGAAAATCTGCATTTAGCAAAACAAAGAAAAATTATTATGTCAAAGAAATCCTATTTGAGTAAATTGCAATTACTTGCAAGGACTGTCCATGGAAAAAATACTCCAGGTTTTATGAAAAGAGTGTTGCCCATTTGTGGTTATGTTTTATTTAATTGGACTTTTTATATTTGCTGTAATGATGTTTAAAAATTAAGCTGACTTTCTGCAACAAACTGTAGAAACATATGGTGTACAGCCCGCAGAGGCTCTCAGAGCCGGTAGTATTACTGATAATATTTGTGAATTAGAATCTGCTTGTCTCTGAAAAATAGCTGTGTTTTCCCCCAATTTAAAATACTGTGTTTTCACCAGCATGTTTTCATCAATGTTAACAGTTTGGGGAAAAAAAATAATGGATATGATCTTCTTAAATACATTTCCTTACTTCTGTATGAGTCTGAATCTGTCATGGTAAGGGAGGCTGAATATCAGACTCAGCCTCTCCTCCGTGGGTGCCATGAGCCCACTTAACGAAATCAGGTGAATTCAAAGGTGCCTGTTTTACCAGGACCTCCCCCAGGTAGGTCAGCTCAGCACTAGGAGAAAAACTGGAATTGTTGCATGGTCAAGCCACTTTTCCTAACAAAGGCACAATCATTTGGCACTAAGCAGGTTGCTGGATGCCAGGAAGTCTCCTGTCAGCACCCCAGAGTAAGATCCAGCCCCCGGGAACTGCTCCCAGAAGGATTTGTAGATACAGCTTGGCTTCTCACAGGAAATCATACGGCTCAAATGAAAAAAGAAAAAAATGCCTTGGATCTTACTTTTATATATTCAGACTTGCAAAGCACTTCAAGAACAACTCATGCTCACAAACAGCATTTCTCTGACTTATCTCTAATGTATGCTTGAAAGGCTCTGTGCCAAACAAAGTGCAGAGATTAAGTAAATGAAAAGATACTAAACTTTGCAGCAGGGAAACGGTCCAAGTAGTGGTGTTCTCAGGAGCACCAGAGCTGGTTTAGGTTCACACTCATCCATACACAGTCTGCAGAATTCACTTTTAGGCCTTGTACCCTGCTTGGCTTCTGTAACCAGCTTCCCAAGGCTCTCCCTGGTGACTGGACTCACTCCAGACCTGAGGTTCAGACCACACAGCCTCTAGTGGTTTGTTGAGACATGCGTCCACCTCTTCAGCTCATGACAATAAAATGCTTTAAGGCACCAACAAATTTCCTGTGAACTGAATCTGGACCAAGGTCTAGGAAGCTGAAAAAAGTCAACCTTCTCCCTTTTCCATTAGTCCTAGTCAATACAGGTTGTTAGCTTAAATTCAGTTAATTTGGCCATTTCTGAGGGTGAAGTGGGTAGTCAACAGAGAGATACTCCTTTTATCTTTGCTTGAGTAGGTGGTGTCTAATTCTTAAAAGGTCCTCTCAGCAGTTGACAGCAGGTGACTAATCTGCAGAAACGCCCAAGTGCCTCAATCAAAGAAAGTGAAAAAATTCTTTCTGACTGTGTCTTTCAGGATTTTGCCGACTCCATATACCAAATGGTTGCACAGAAGTTCCGGGAGCTGACAGACAATTTCACTTCCATGCATGCACGTCACAAAACTCTTGCAAGCATTGTGATGACCAAAGGTAAGATATCCTCTCATTCATTTTTCTCTGGCATTTTTCATGACTAAGTAATACATTATTTACCTGGCCCACAGCATTGACGGATGCCTTTACTCCCACACAGAAAAATAAATAGTAATGCAGAGAAAAGAAACATTAAATATTTACACCTCAAGTAAGTTCACACAAAAAATATTGGCAACAGAGGTAAAGATTTATTCATAAATATGTCCCTACATTACTTCGTTTACAGGACAGAACACAGACCCGCCTGATTTTGTATTTCCTAATAGATGGGGTAGTTTTAGTTATCAATAAAAAGTTGTATTATTTATTAATTGCTTTTTTAGATCGGGAAACACTGAGGTCTTGTTGTACAAGGCTACCATAAACCTTGTTTTAGACTGACAATGAAAGCAAATCTCAGCCCATTTCCTTTCCAGTCAAAAGAAACAAAACCCAGAGCATGTGTAGTTTTAATTCTGCTCTGCTCTGACTGTGGGAAATATCTATCCTTATCAGCAGGGCCAAAATTTTATGTTCACCCCGTTAAGACTTAACTGATGGACACATACTACGCAAAAATCTTTAGCCCTTTCATGAAACTGTAACATAGAGGGTCTGTCTCTTTTTGTGAGCTCACCTCAGTTGGGGCACCTCAGTATTTATGAGGATGTCAGCGGTGGAGATGCTGCCATAAACTTCATTCTCACTCAGATGCGCGGAGCAGTGGATTGAGTTTAGAAATGAGAGGATAAGCTCAGAGGGAAAAGGCATGTATAATTCATCTATGCTTGTCTTACTCCTTCCTTTCAACAATTACATTAGCTAGATTCAATAGGGACATTTGTGAATACTGCGAGGCAGCAGGATGGAGACAGGATTATCTGCTGGATCTTTTCCAACTACAGAAACTAAATACAGCTAAGAGTTCTGTGCAGAGTAACTTATTCTCCTCCTTTCTGATGTGAAAACAGTGAGAAATTAGAAGTAGGGAACTTAACTTAAAAGACTTTTCCATCTCTGGTTGGAACTGAACTGTTCCTCAGGTAAATTTGTTATTATTTTGCTTAGTCTGCTTTGGTTTGTTATTTTTTATACTACTTTGGGATCTGGGATAATGGATGAGACTTCCATTTTTTAAGTGCTGAAAAGGCACAATGTTGTACAAAGACAAAACAGGGTGTGTAAGTTCTATAGACCACAGGAGACATACTTAGTATCAAGAAAAGTAAAAGGGAGAGTGCGATTGACTGGGATGTGATAGATGCACACTAGACCCAGCACACCAGCTGTCTCATCATAGTCAGATCTCTTGACTGTGGCACTCATCAGATTTAAACAAAGTGCTATAATTCAGTTATAGGAGCTCTTTCCAACCAGGACCACAGGAAGAATGTTTAGATATGTCTTTTTAAAGAAGCTAAGTCACAGGAGCCAAGCATTGTTGCTTTAACCACTTTTCAAGGGGATACTGTACCCAGCTCAGTGTCCCTGTTCAGTTTTTTTACACTCAGTATGTATTTTCCCTGTCAGAATTCCAGTCCATTCCTACCTTGCCAAGTAACAGTCCATGCATCCTTTAGCCCAGGTCTAGACCTACTTTAAAAAGCATAATGGAGCCCATGCAGCATCGTTGCTATATGACCAAAGAAGCAGTCTGTGGTGGGTTGACCCTGGCTGGATGCCAGGTGCCCATCAAAGCCACTCTGTCACTCCCCTTCTAAGCTGGATGGGGGAGAGAACATAAAACAAAAGTGTCATGGGTTGAGATAAGGCTAGGGAGGTAACTCATCACAGGCAAAACAGACTCAACACAGGAAAATTAATTTAATTTATTACCAATCAAGTCAGAGTAGGATAATGGGAAGTAAAACCAAATCTTAAAACACCTTCTTCCCACCCCTTCCTTCTTCCCAGGCACAACTTCACTCTGGACCTCTCTGCCTCCTCTCCCGAGCGGTGCAGGGGGACGGGGAATGGGGGTTGCAGTCAGTTCTTCACACCTTGTTTCTGCTGCTCCTTCCTCTTCACACTCTTCCTCTGCTCCACCGTGGGGGCCCTCCCACAGGAGACAGTCCTTCATGAACTTCTCCAAAATGAGTCCTTCCCATGGGCTGCAAGTACTGCTCTAGTGTTGGTCCTTTCCAGAGGATGCAGTCTTTCAGGAACAGACTGCTCCAGTGTGAATGTCCCCCCAGGGTCACAAGTCTTGCCAGCCAGCCTGCTCCAGGGTGGCCCCCTCTCTCCATGGGGCCACAATTCCTGCCAGGGGCCTGCTCCAGCATGGGCTTCCCATGGGGTCACAGCCTCCTTTGGGCATCTACCTGCTCCGGCGTGGGGTTCTCCAGGGGCTGCAGGCGGATATCTGCTCCACTGTGGACTTCCATAGGCTGCAGGGGAAAGCCTGCCTCACCATGGTCTTCACCACGAGCTGCAGAGGAATCTCTGTTCTGGCACCTGGAGCATGTCCTCTACCTCCTTCTTACTGACCTTGGTGTCTGCGGAGTTGTTGCTCTCACATATTTTCACTCCTCTCTTTGGCTCCTGCTGCACAGCAGTTTTTTCCCCTCCTTAAATATGTTATCTCAGAGGTGCTACCACCATCACTGATGGGCCAGCCTTGGCCACTGGCAGGTCCATCTTGGAGCCAGCTGGCATTGGCTCTACTGGACGTGGGGGAAGCTTCGAGCAGCTTCTTACAGAAGCCACCCCTGTAGCCTCATCTGCTACCAAAACCTTGCCACACCAAGGCAGTGCACAGTCATATAAGGGACAGTGTAAAACCCCACACCATATGGGAAGGAAAGCCACCCAAAGCGGTCATAAATTCCAACATCTGAGAGGGTGCAGTGCTAGGGGAGGGAAGGGGCACATCCAGAGCCCTGCTAGTCCTGCTGGGCAGCTGGGGCTGATGATGCCCCTTCTTTGGGAAACGGGTAAAAGTGTCCTCCCACTGGGTTTTTATATGAGTCCTGTGCCCTTAGTGAGATTGTACACATTTGTATTTCATATTTCTTCTTAGTCAGCATTAAGACAAAGTGTAATTTTGCTTATGTTCACAAACCACTTCCCTCGGGGCTTCTTTTTTAATTTTGAATTCCTTTTTATGAATTCCTTCAATCTGTCAGCCATCCAATTTGTCAATATCTTACCGGCTTTGTGGAGCCCAGAATAGAAACTCACAGATATGAAGTGATTCACAGAAGATGCAAAGTTAGAAACAGCCTTATATTGGTACATTTTCCAGGAAGATTTGAGTTCATTCCAGCACAAGAATGTCTGCCAACGACGGCAAGACGAATCATTTGCCTTTTGTGTCATTATTTTCTGTACTGAAGTTGTAAATTTGTGGTCTGTTCCCCACCATCATTCCCAGAGATAGTAAGAATCTTGACACACTCTGTTCAAAGATGGCACAGGCAGGTTTTTCACATAAAACACCCAAATAAGTACCAATTTCCTGTGTTTTTAACATATAATTTGGCAGAAATACCCTTAGATCTCTGCAAACAAATTATTAATGCCATCAACAAAAACAAATCTGGTAAAGTCTTGTTGCATTTCGTACTCTACACAACCATAACAGAAAAAAATTAATTTATTTTTATTTTCATTTCAATTTAATGTCATCCCGACTAGAAACAGATTTATCTGTGCTTGTACAGTTTTCAGACAAAGCTAGTAAAAAGCACAATGTGATTCTGTGATAACTGCTGTTAAGATAATACAAAATCTCTACAGACGAAACAGAAGTGTGCTAGATTGGTTTTCTTTTCCTGAACTCTGACATTTTTTCTGCCGTTTCAGTTTCCCATGGAAACCAAAGAGAGTTACATCTGGGCACTGTAATTGACTTATGCTGTAGCACCCAGGGCAAATTCCAAAGTAGGAGAAAGAAAAAAATGTAGAAAATTATGTTATTGACTGACTGTGAATGTTCCACAGTAATAAATTGCCAGTCAGAAAAACAGACAGTCCAATGTATTTAGATATACTTTGCTTTGAATTGTGATGAAAAGTTAAAATCTCAACGCATTTTTGTGAAAGCAAGTTTTCAAACATTTGATTAGTAGACATCAAGATAACCTTGAAAAAATCTGCAGAGGTAGGAGCAAATGATCACACTGGATACCAGATGATGTGATGTTATCTGATGTAATACAATAATTGAATATAATAATAATTCAAAAACTAGCATAACATATCTTGAACTAAACATTTCAAAAGATGGAACATTTGAAGTAAATTATTTAACAATTCTCCAGTTGTAATGTATTTGAAATCTGCGTGTTCTGTAACACAGTCTAATTTTATTGAAACATCCAGAAGAGATTGTTCTATCAAAAAAATTTTTTTGATTGACTCTAGGAAAAATTGTTCAACAAGTAAGACATTGCATTCAAATCTCCCATGTACAGCAAGCTGTAATTCCACAGAATATCTTTAAGTAGAACAAGTATACTTGTTACTGTAGCATAGTTTTAATATGATCACCTAAGTACAGGCATTTTTCTCAGTAGTAAAACTTCGGGGAAAGAAGGAGAAAGGGGAGACATTTGGGTTTATGGCATTTGTCTTGCCAAGTAACCATGAACTATCATTATCTCAATCCACGAGTCTTTTTGCCTTCCTTCTATTTTCTCCCAGTCCCATAGGAGAGAGGAGTGAGCGAGAGGCTGGGTGGGTGTTTGGCTGTTGGCCAGGGTGAACCAATATTTCACTTCAGGATGTGCAGTAACAAGAGATGGACATAATGTTTCTTGCTGTCACTGATAAAGGTGACCTACCAGCTCCCCCACTTTCCTATGTGACTCTGTCTTTCAGGTGCAATTTGGACATCTTGGTTTGACCCACTCAGCTGCTGTACCTTTTTATTGAGAAGTTTGCAGGGAGAAATAATATTTTTATTATTACTATTATTAGGCCAGTTGATACAGTGGGGAAAAATCAAGAGCAAGCAAGCTAATATTTTCTAACACAAGCAAACAAATGCAAAACTGGAGCACTCTCACGTACCT